GGCCCTTCCCCCCCCTCTGGCGGGGCCCCCGCCATACTGAGTGCTCAGAGAGAAAAGCTAACCCTTCCCCTCTGACCGAAGACTGTTGTTCCCCCAGGTCTGGCACAAAACTGGCTCTGATTCAGCCCTAGGGGCTCCAGCACAAAGTCCTGGGGAGAAGCAGGAGCTGTGTGGCCGGTGGCAAGCGCTGGCAGCTGCGGGGCTGAGTCACAGCCGTGGGCCCACGCTCTCCATGTCAGGCACGCCGCCCCGTGACTCAGCCTCACCGGCAGCACCATACACGGCTCATCCACCTCGGCAGCAGGGTGGGCTGGCTGCCGGTAGGGATGGTGGGCAGGCTGGACTGGCTGCCCATAGGGATGGCGGCAGGGTGGACTGGCTGCCTGCCTGCTCCTCCCTCCTGCCTCCTGTCTGCATCCTGCCTGACCTGGCCGCTGCCTTGAGGAGAGCCCCGTGGGAATGCCCTCGCTGAACCCTGCAGATGCTGGATGCCACCTTTCTCCTCTTGCTGGTGGCAAAGGCACTCGCAGCCATGGAGGGCAGGGGTTGGGGACTGTGGCAGAGGGAAGGGGCTTGGGGACCACAGTACAGGGCAAGGGGTGAGAGACCATGGAAGAAGGTAGAGGGTTTGGGACCATGGCAGAGGGTGAGAGATCAGGACCAGGGCAGAGGACGGGGGTTTGAGGACCATGGAGGAGGTCAAGGGGGACCACAGCAAACACCAGGGGCTCCTGTCAGCCACCCAGCAAGAGGCGGATGGAGGCACCATCCCACCAGAGGCTGGGGCTCATGAAAGCTGCTTATTATAACCCTACTGCCTGGCGTGTCTGTCTGTCTGCCTTTCCAACTATCTGTCTCACTCAGCAATCAAAGGAGGTTGTTCCAAGAAAGCTGGAAGAGGAGAAGGAATGTCTCCCTTGGCCGTGGCTTCCTTTGGAAAGTCTGGAAAAACTGGCATCTCGACGTGCATGAAGGTCTGCCTAGTGAGAAGCACATTTTCCTTCCAAGCTGCTGTAAAGATGTGAATCATGAGCCAGCAACGCTCCTGGCAGAATGGAAGATGATCCCACTGAGACGCAGTGCTGGCAGCAGCCCTGTTGTATCTCTTGGACAGAAAAGACAAGCATTTATCTTAGAGACATCACTGGTGAAGAGCTGCCCGTGCTGCCAAGCGCCCTGCGGTGGCTGGGTCCCGCCTGTGCCAGGGTGCTCTGGCCATAGGGAGCCTTGAAGACATTTCCCAAAGGTTTCCCAAAGCCCCACAGTGGCATTGCCAGTATTCAAATGCAAGCAGTTTATGGTCCCTGCTGCTGTGGTTGTCCTCCACAACCTCACCCCCTCAGTGGCATCTCTACATTTCAGGGATGAAAATATCCCATATATCAGTCTCTCGCTTGCGATGATGTTAATCCAATTTCTGGTTTTTACAGCCTTTGCATTGGACATTGCAAGGCAAGATGAGAAGGGGATGCCCGAGAGAGAAAATTAAACAGGGGTGGGCGAGCTGCCAGTGAGTGGCCATTTTCTGCCACAGGGAGAGACAAGGGGTGCCTGAAACCACCCCATATTCACAGCAAAGGTTGTCAGAGGGGACAGGCAGGGGGTGCCAGTGCTGCTACAATTTAAACTCTGAGTCTAAATCCAGCAGGATGGGGAAGAGCCTTGCTTCCCAGTGACTCCCCGGTGCTGTTTGCCTGGAGATGGGAATGAGTGGGGCTGAGCATGGGAACCCAGCGCTCCCAGGGATGGGGAACGGTGCCGGGTGCTTCCTGGTAGCTGTGAT